GATTGTGCATGCTCAGTCACTCAGTGGTGTGTGTGTGACTCTCTGCTGCCCCATGGACTATAGCCCATGAGGCTCCTCTGTCTGTGGAATTTTTCAGGCAAGTATATAAGAGTTAGTTGCCATTTCATACTCCTGGGGATCTTCCCGACCCAGAGATTGAAGCCTCATCTCCTGCATCTCCTGCATTGGCAGGAGGATTATTTACCACTGAACCCTATCTTGAGTTTTAAAAAATACACATTAATGTATTTAGGGTTTTTTTTAAGTGATGTATATAAGTTAATCTCAAGTGGCTCAGGAAAAAAATCTCTGTGTGTATGTGTCTCTCTCTGTATATATGTATATGTATAAATATATCTACTATATATAATAGATATTTTCTGTTTCATAAAAACATAGCTATTATCTACATAAAGATCAATAGAGGTTATAAATACAGATATACATATAACCACATTTGTTTTATCATGTGTTCTCCCTATCTACAGAGAGAGAGAGCATATGATAAAGCAAGCGAGGCAATTTGTTAAAGAAATCAGCAAATCATACAACTGTTCTTTGCACTATTCTTATTCTTGCAACTTTTCTTAGGTTTGATACTTTTTTTAAATAAAAAATGGATAGTTTGAAAAGTCTTGTCAGTTTTTGCCTGATGATCCATTTTCTATTCTTGACTGATGGGCCAAAAATAAAGTCTTTGGGCATCAAAACACTTTCATTTGTATCCCAACACTCTCACTTACCTTGACCTCTGGTAAATTAGCAATAATGCTCTATTTCTCTGTTTCCTCCTCTGCGAAATGGGCATAATGATGCTGCTCATGAACAGTTCAGACACATATTAGATGAGGATAGAAGTATTGCAAAGTAGGAGAGAAAGGAAATATGATTAAATAAATGATAGGACAATTAATATTCCATAAAGAAAAAAACTAAAATTAGCCCTTACACAAAAATAAATTCCAAATAAATTAAAGATCTACTCATGAAAAATTCAACCACTTTTAAGTTTAAAAAAAAGTTTCTCAGGCAAGACAGAAAAACAAAACATGCAAAAAGGAAAAGACCTAAATTTGACTGTATCACATTTAGAGACTTCTGCAAAGAATACCACAAATATAAAAGAAAAGCAGTAATACAAGAAAAGCAATAATAAGAGAAAATATTTGCAATGCATGACATAAGCAAAAACTTAATATCCAGAAAAAGTTACATAAAAGACTAGTAACCAAGTAAAACTAGCAAGAAGTTTAGAGAAAAAGAAACCTGTCTGATAAGTACATAGAAAATGGTTCTTCACACTAGCAATCAGAAATATATAACCTAAACCCTTATAGGTAATATTTCACAACTCTGGCAAAAAAAATTTAGAAATGTGACAATATCAAGTTTTTTTGAATCAGTAGCAGGATAGATAATCCAGACCTCACTGGTGGAGAGCAACTCCAATGAAGAGGAGAATCACCAATGAAAAGTCACTCCTCTCCAGGCATGCCTCCTAAGGGGCACACTGCACATGGGTTCTAGGAGACCGGATCGATAAGGCTTATTGCAGCTAAAGCTGTCATGAGAAAAGTTAGCAACAACCTGAACTGGGTCAAAAATGCAATGGATGAAGACATTACTGTGTGGTGTTTCAATAGACCCATACAGAGAGTTAAGATGAAGACACCTGATTCACAGGCTCAGCGTGGGTAGATGACACAGATGTTACCCATGCTGTGAGGGCGTTCAGGTCAACATTTTAACACCTAGAGAACAACACAGGAAGGAAGCACAGTCAAAGCAGGTGCGCTACTTCCTCTGGAGAGAGAGGGGGTAAATAAGACAGAGGAAGTGAGACAAAGGGTTCAACTTCATCTCTGATGCCCTGCTTCTCTGATGGATGTGCTCACTTACTCATCTCCTTTTAAACACAGCTATCTTAAAAAAATAAAACTAGATTTTGAAATGTGTTAATTTAGGGTATTGTGTCCATGAATGTTTGTCACCTTGATCTAGGTTTTAGAAATAGTTTCAATATATTTGAGGACTGGTTTTTCAAAAGCTCTCCAACTACTCCATGTATGGGAAATAGTGACCTGGGCTCTCTTCCCTGGCCCCAGGCAAGCCTGGATGTCACCGAGGTAAAAAGGTGGACATGCCACTCTACCTCGCTGTGGCCCTAAAAGCCTTCTCATGCACAGTTCTAACATATACCCTGGATGACCAACCTGGTCACCTGCCTTCACAGGCCATCTGTTAATGGGTTACACTAGATAATCCTTAGGTCACTTTCACCAGTCCATAAAGGGAAAGTGCAGTTTGTCTTATAATTTTCAATAGGTTGGTAGTTATGTTTCTCTTCATAGAAATGTATTTATTGGAATGAAGAATATATATAGACATTATGAAATTCTCCAACACAGAGAAACTAAAAGATGACCCATAATCCTATTTCCTAAAAAGAGTTGAAGGATACTTTTAACCATTTGCTGTATTTCCTTCCCTTCAGTTTTTGGAAAGGTAAGAAAACATGTGAAAAATACGACGACATAACTGAAACTCTGTGACTGTGGCTTTGTCTCTTCTCTTCTACCCAGATCAGTTCTGAGAAAGTTAACTCTTTCAATGAAACTTACTGGATTCATTGGAAATTTTAGAGCATAATTGATTTAGCCAGATTCTGGCTGGTAATCAGTAGTTTCTGGTTTTCCCTGTGATCAGCAGTGCTGAATAGCATCCTATTAAATATTTTAGTGAGCTTTTACCCTATTAGGTTATTAGGATGAGCTCCTGGAAGTGGAATTTTGGAGTAGAAGGCTGTGAACAGCTTGCATTTTGCTACAAATTACCAAATTGTGATTACAGAATTTGGTACTCAAGAGACTCAGATGTATAGAACAGACTTGTGGACTCTGGGAGAAGGAGAGGGTGGGATGTTTCAAGAGAACAGCATCGAAACATGTATATTATCTAGGGTGAAACAGATCACCAGCCCAGGTTGGGTGCATGAGACAAGTGCTCGGGCCTGGTGCACTGGGAAGACCCAGAGGGATCGGGTGGAGAGGGAGGTGGGAGGGGGGACCGGGATGGGGAATACATGTAAATCCATGGCTAATTCATTTCAATGTATGACAAAAACCACTGCAATGATGTAAAGTAATTAGCCTCCAACTAATAAAAATAAATGGAAAAAAAAAAGAAAAAATAAATAAATAAATACCAATTAAAAAAAAAAAACGAATGCTCCCCTCACCTTAGATACTGGCTACATGCTTTAAATATGATAACAGATTGAATTCTCTCAACCTGTGGAGTCAGTACTATCTTTATCCCCAAGTTACAGATGAGAAAACTGAGCACAGTGAGGATGAATATCCTACCCATGCTCTCTGGGCTCGTAAAGAGCAGAGCAAGGATTAACATGCAGTGTGTTTAGAGCTGAACGCACAAGGCTAACTAATCACTGCTATCTCTGCTAGTAGTGTTTGAAAGCCCTAAATTGTTGTGATGCTTTGGCCAAGTATCACAATGCAAACCTCATCCATAAAACTCAGATAATAGGGGGACTAATTTCAGAGTTGTCACGGAGACAGAATGAGCTAATGTAAAGTATTGAGCAGAATATATATGACTATGCAGCTTATCAGATGCACTCCAAAATGTTTGATGTCATTATTTCTTTGTTACTTGTGAGCGTGAGCATTTTAAGGGTTTATTTCTATTTGTCATTCTTCAGTGAATTGCCCGTTCATATAATTTGCACCTTTTTTTCATGAGGCTCCTTAAATTTAACTTCTTCCCCTCATGCTTGTGTATCTACTTAGGTCAAAAGCAGAAACAAGGGTTAAAACTTGCACTACCTTCTGGCACTTTTACCAGGCACACCTCCCATGGTCTGTCCTGTACATCCTTAGTTCTGGCTGCCTGGGTTTCACCATCCTTTCATTGCCACCAACACTGGTTTTACACACCATTTCCACGTGTAAACTGACAGATGCCGAGGCTGCTATCTGTCTGACATGCTAACACCCGGAGGTCAAGAGCTTTATTCTTTCCTGGGCTTAGTGCAGGCTTTAGACAAAGTCCTGCCCATGAGAATAATTTTGCTCATGTCTAGGATACAGGCTGTTACTCGAGAGACAGAACGTTAAATCGAGATAGACTGCTTGCCTCTGAGTCTTGACTCAGTGCAAGCTTTGGCAAAGAGCTTTTTTGTGTAGATGACAGACATCCATTGCCTTTTTAAGAAATAACAGTTGATGTTAAAGACAATTTTGCAAAAAGTCTCAAGACTCTTTCCTTTTCTGTTATCTATGCATTTTTCTAACCATCACTCTGTCTTGATCGCTATCTCTTTTGGGTTTTTCCTCTCTGTTTCTATGGCCTGATTTTTCTCCCTCTATATCTCCCTGTTTTTCTATTAGTCTCTGCCTCTCTCCCTTCTTTCCTCTTTTGATCACAGGATTAAAAACGACTTTAAAAAACAAATACCTCTGAGTAAATAAGAGCATGCTTTATTGCATAATAAGACTGATTCACCATTAACAATAGAAAAGCATCTACACATCTACATTTTCTCATTTTACATAATTATTTTCATTTGACTTAATTAAATTTAACTTAATTTTCACACAATCCTAGAAGGTAAACATTATTATTCTCCCTTTTATTGGTTCAGAAACTGCGACTCTAAGAAGCTCTGTTTTGCCAGCAATGGAGCCACAGTTTAAAGCTAGTTTTGTCTAGGTCTCAACCCCAAAGCTTTTTCTGCCACAGGAAACGTCTTGTCCCCTGCAGTCCCAGAAGCATTTGTCAGCTGCAGCTGGAGTGAAACAGACCAAAAGCTTTTCTCACCGTCCCATCACAGTGAGAAAAGCCATCTGTCCGAAGGGACACGTGCGTTCTTGAGGGACTGAGCCCCAGTGGGCTAGCAAGCCCCAGTTTCTGACTCACCGTGGCGCCCCCGCCCCAGCCAAGAAAGGGGAACGTGAGCCCCCTTTCTACACACCACTTACCAAGGAGAAAGAGGAGGACTCTCAGCATTCTGGCCGCAGAGTGCATGTTGGCGTTCTGCTCAGGGCTTCTTAAAGGGCAGAAAGGGGGGACTATGTGACCCAAAGCTCTGGGGAACGGGAGCCAAGTCCCACGTGACAGATGGGGAAGGAAGCTGCCGCCACAGCCCAACACTGCTCAGTTCCTCTCAGCCCTGTCATCCCAGCAAGTGCAGGCAGCCAAGGGGAGCTGGTCCACAATGAGGGCATCTGGCGTGAGAGGGGGGCACCGGGGGGAACAGTACCAATATTATCTCCTACGATCTTCCCCTCACAAGTGTGACTGGGTGCAGATTCTTCCCCAGAGACCCCAGCTGGTGAGTCTCAGAGAGGGATGTGGGCAAAGCTGGCCTGCCTGGAGGTGCAGCTCCTGCAGCAGCTCCCGGCCCTCCAGCCTTGAGGCAAGGACAGGAAGTACCCCCAAGCCCACAGCATAGCCAATCACTATTTTAGGACCACAGACTCCTTTAGGTTCCAGAGGCCTACGGATTTCTTCCCAGAATAAAATGTTTAAGTGCCCCAAATAAGGTACTTAGGGATCCTTTCCCAGGTGGTGCTAGTGGTAAAGAACCTGCCTGCCAATGCAGGAGACAAAAGAGACACTGGTTCAATCCTTGGGTCAGAAAGACCCCCTGGAGAAGAAAACGGCAACCCACTCCAGTATTCTTGCCTGGAGAATCCCATGGACAGAGGAACCTGGTGGGCTATAGTCCATGGGATCACAAAGAGTCAGATATGACTGAATGATTTAGCACCTGATTTAGCACATGCACACACACACACAAGGATTATAAAAGAAACCAGTTATTTTGAAATACAATTATCCAAATATCTAGAAAACAGACTTGTGATACAGAAATATATGTGCTTCTTTACCCACCCAGTAAATAACTAGGCATAGCATCAAGTGAAATAATTACCAGGATCTTGATGCCATGATAAAATGATATTGAGAGATGTCTCTAACAACTGAAATATGGATGGACATATTCACTGCTCCTACTAGTAATAAAATCACCTGTCTGGTAATGCCACTGTGGCTTAGTGGCTGCACTTGAATTAGCAGGAAAAGCTAAGTTTCCATTAGAGGTTAGAGGACAGAGATGGAATTTTTTCCCATCCAAGTTCACAGATCCCAGGTTAAGTGTCCAACCTCGGAGGACCCTTGGTTGTTAACACAGACTCAGCCCACAAATCTGGGGTCGTGGGTTTCCATACTTCTCCTTGACACATACTTAACTATCAAGGCATCAACTCCAGTGTGCAAGAAATGTCACTTGCAAAAACATAAATCAAATTAATGACTGTTGTAGAGCTCCATTTAAATGAGTGGGCAGAAACTGAACACTTTTTTCTTGGGATCCCCCAGCCAAATCCCTAACACAGCTAACTCAGTGAGAGCTTGCAATCTTAGAAAGTGAGTTTGTTTGACCCTCATCCCAACCCTCTGAGTCAGGTGTTAGCACTGGCCTTCCTTTGATGGAGGAGGGAACGACATCACTGAGGTGTGTGGTACCCCCAGGTCCACTCAGCTAGGTATTGAGCCCAAGCCTTTGGCTGGCAGTCTGTGCCTCTCACACTGCACTATGCCTTCCATGGGTGGCACCCACTGCCAAGGTCCATCTGTCCCGCCAGAGGCCATCAGGGTGCACTGGCAGCCGCTGACACCCACTGACGGGACCCCTTCAGAACAGCTGTGTTTGCTCCTCTGAGTCTCCACATGAGTGGAGTAGACCGTTTCTGGGGAACACAGGTTTCTTCATTTTGGTGCCTTTAAGTTTCATCCTTTTACCCAGATACACTTTATTTCATTTTAAACACTTTGGCTCAGTCTTCACTTGCACCAGGAAACATACTCTCTCTTGCTTCTCCTGAAACATGTGGATTTTTAAAATCTTTATCCTACTTAATGAAGACATTTGTAGGAGAGATACTTCAGTTTCCCCTAAGCGAACTAAAAGAAAATGTCAGTGCAGATATAATAATCTACGGGCAGTGGCTGTGGGCTGCAGAAAACACACCAGTAGAGCTTCAGGTGGGCCCAAGGTTTCAGGTACACAAAGAGGTCCCAAGCTGATGTGACATCAGACTTTGCAATTTTTGGCAACTAATTTTAAAATGTCTTCACAGGCAGTGTGCATGCTCAGTCGCTTCAGTCGTCTGTGACTCTTTGTGACCCCATGGACTGTGGCCCTCCAGGAACCTCTGTCTATGGGATTTTCCTGTCAAGAATGCTGGCGTGGGTAGTCATTCTCTTCTCCAGGGGATTTTCCTGACCCAGAGATCGAACCCGTATCTCCTGCATCTCCTGCACTGCAGGTGAATTCTTTACCGCTGAGCCACTGGGGAAGCCCTCGCGTGTGGCAAGTCAAACCGAATAGCAGTGTGTAACTTCTGCTCTAGAATACCTCTCGGGATCTCTTCCAGGGCTCAAGCATTCATATTTAAACCCACAAAGGGAAGTTTCTTCAGCAACTTCTTCTTTTTCACCCAGCCACAACCTCCTAAGGCCAGAAAATGCAGCATCTTCTACTCACCTGAGTAGAAGAGTGGAAAATACAGAGACTAAAAATGGTCTCATAAGCTGGAATCTGAAAAAACAGCCTGACATCACCTAGCCAGTGGACCTGGGAGTGATTGGAGTCTCAGTGTGGTCTGATGCTTTCCCGGCCAGAATGGGCTGCCCCACCGCATGCCCCTATAATAAATGCCCAGCTCTTAACCTGAGGCTGCTCTTTCATAGGTGTTGGGATGCCTCCCACTAGACTGGAAGCCTGTGAGGTCAGGGGCCAGAGCACTGAGCCCCACAACTGACACAGCATAGGGTCTCAGGAGCTTTTATTGAGTAAAGGAATCACTTTACTTTGCTCACACACAGATTGAGCCAGCCCAGCCTCCAGCCTAGAGCACAGTTGTGGACCTGACCTGTGGTAGGGCGGTAACCTGCTCTGCCAACCAAAAGAGAAAGAGCTCTGCAGTGCTGATATTCTGCAGGCTCTGACCCTTCCCCAGCATGGGCCCCTCATGCCCAGGAAGCTTCTGTCCTCTCCCAGCAGCTTAGCACCAGCCACACTGCATGCGATTGACACATGTGTCTATAGTATTAGTCACACTGCATGTGACTGACACATGTGTCTATAGTATTAGTCGGTTATTTCTGCTGCTTGGTTATTTCTGATTCTCTGCAGCCCCATAGCCTGCCAGGCTCCTCTGTCCATGGGATTCTTCAGACAAGAATACTGGAGTGAGTTGCCATTTCCTATTCCAGAGTATCTTCCCAACTCAGAGATCGAACCTGTGTCTCTTGCACCTCCTGCACTGGCAGGCGAATTCTTTACCAGTAACACCACCTGCAAAGCCCAGTACTAGTCGGGAGAAACTGTCAAATCCACCAAGACTGTGGGAGACTTTGTGAAAAACTAAGTATAGGGAAGATTTTTAATCACTTACTGATGTACCACACTTAAATAGGAGGCCGGTCCAAAAAAATAGAAAATTGTCTTTTCAACCATACATACAATAGTTAAAAAAAAAAAAAAATCTGAACCAGGAAGCCAGTCTCAAAAATTTCAAAGAATAGGTGCCAAACAACCCATATTTCTTACCATGGTGCAACTGGATTAGGTAACAGTGGCCAAAAATACATTAAGTTTCTGTGTTTAGAAATTTAAAAATGCATTTCTAAGTAACTGATAAGTCAAAGAATAAGTTACAATAAAAACTAAAAACAGCTAGAACTGAATGATAATGAAAATGTCTTTTATCAGATTTGTGGACCCCAAGTAAAATAATAATTAAAAGGAAATGAGTAGATGTAAATTCTTAGAAAAGAAGGACTTAAAAAAGCATGAGTTATATGAATAAGTCTGGTTATCCAATGCATAGAAATGCAAATACAGTTAACAATACTGTATTCTGTACTTAAAATTTGTTTAGAGGGTAAATCTTAATTGTTTTCGATACACATGCCCACACACACTGAGGGGACAGATATGTTAATTAGCTTGACTGTTATTTCACAGTGTATACATACATCAGAACACCAAGTTGTATACTTTAAATGTATCAAACTTTTATTTGTTGATTAATACTTTAATGAGGATGGGTGAAAATATTGGGTAATGCTTAAGTTAAGCTGAGAATGTGAAAAAATATGATATAACATTTTTGAAAACAATTTTTATTCTCTAGTGAAGTTGAAGATTTATCATGTGATTCAACAATTCTACTCCTGAAGATATAACCAGATATACTCTTATACCTGTACATTCAGAGACGTAGAAAAGAATATTCACAGAGCCTAATTTGTGATAGCAAACAATATCTTGAAAGAACTACAGAATCTATCAACAGGAGGGTGGGTAAATAATTCAGGATGAATTTTACAATGGAATATTATGTAACTATTAATAAATTGGAAAAGACCCTGATGCTGGAAAAAATTGAGGGTAAGAGGAAAAAGAGGGTGACAGAAGATGAGATGGTTGGATGGCATCATTGACCGAATGGGCTTGAGTTTGAGCAAACTCAGGGAGATAGTGATGGACAGAAAAGCCTGGCATGCTGCAGTTCGTGGGGTCACGAAGAGTTGCACAAGACTTAGCATCTGAACAACAACAAATCATAAACAAACTACAGTGACAGAGACAACTTAGATAAAATTCAAAAACATAATGTGTGAAAAAATCAAATTGCAAAAGATGACAGGCAGAATGATACCATTTTCATGAAGTACAGAAGCAAGCAAAACTAAACAATAAAGAATCCAGAGAAGACATACATATTTTTCATTGAATAATATTTTTAAAAATCATTAAAATTATAAACAAAAAGTTCAGGCGATGAGGTATAAGGGAAGGAGTATGAAGGTGGGCAGTAGAGGCAACATTCTAGGTTTTTAATTTCTAGTCAGGTGCATGGGTTATTATGCTTCACTAGTAGGAAGACCATATGCTGAGTTTTGCCCAGATAAGTCCTGGTTTATGTCCATTATCTTTGTATAGTTATAATAGCATCCCTTTCACTCCCCAAAGTTTGACAAGGACCAAAAGATTTGAATCATAATTAT